GGTCTGAGAGGAGGAAAGCGTTCCTGAGGGGAGAGGTGGTGATTTCTGCCAGCTGTCTCTGTGATGACAAGTCTGACATGTTCCTCATTCTGACATCACACACACGCACTCCCCACAACTGGAAGGCGAGAGCACGGTGTATGTATTTTAACATCGTTTTGCTCTATGTTGTTAAACTGTAAATTCACAGCAGTGTGCTTTTCATTGAGCTGGGCACAAAATGGAGCGAAAATAGACTTTGGTTTATTTTCCAACCGCAGTTTTACATGGTCCACTCGAGTCAAGAAAAAGTACCCTGAGGCACACGAATAGTAATTCTTTTCTACCTTGAAATTAAATTTGGGCTCCCCTTAAAGTGGTGGGCGCACCAACAGGCTATACTGACATTTAAATAAAGATGTATTCATTTTTCAGCTGAGGTCAGACTTGCAGTCATACTCTTCTATTTGTATGCTGTGGAGCCACATAATAGCATGAATCAAATAAGTCCTTTAGCAATTTCTTCTATAAGACACATATTAGTAGTGTTGCTGACTGTGTTCCTCGCCTGAGGGTCCGTTACCTGGCTCATGGCCGGTTCCGGTGGCCAGGGCAGGCATGTCTCCTGCCGGCTACTTCCTGGTTCTCCTCAGACTGTGGAAAATGGCGTCAGGAGCTCCTCGGAAGCAATCTCCAGCTGAATCTGAGGATGGGCTTTATGCCATAGAGCCCTGCAAGAGAACAAGAATTTTGAGCCTACTTGTGGCAGAACAGATGTATATGTCTGAGTATGTGTTTAGGGATTACACTGGCATCTGTAACCATGGATATAAATATATATTATACCAGCAAAACATATATTTTTCTCTGTAGCTAAGCCAGTGCATGTGCGTTGACAGTGTGTTCACAATTTACTTATGGTGTTTACAACACATTACTTTTTCTGCTGCTACTTTTCAGCTTATATATCCCCCTGAATCACAACATAAGGAAACCAAGCAGCTAATGTGCATCAGTGTGGACAACACACACGTATTCTGCTCATTTCCAACTCCATGGCTTTATTCTTGGACTCTATTGAAGTAGTTTTCCATTATCCAGAGCTCAAACTAATCCTTTTTTCTCCTTCTGTTCATCCTCTGCATGGCTTTGAGTTTCAGCTACCTTACCCCAACCTTTAATAAATTTTATGTATATAAGACTGTATCACAGCAACAGTCACATCAAGGCGCTTATTGTAAACTAAAGACCCTACAATAATAGAGAGAAAACCCCGACAATCAGACAACAGCGTATTAGAAAGCACTTAGCATCAGTGGGAACTACAATCTTTAACAGGAGGAAAACCTCCAGCTCTGTACAAACACATGTAGAGTTTGAGCCTACGCAGCTAAATAGAAACAAACATGAAAAGTCTTAAGGTATGCTGCACCATCTTTTTCTTCATTTTTTGTTGCATGTGAAGGGGAATGACCACATTCTCAACTGTTAGTGTCTGTTCAGACCACAAGAAAATCTGATGGTGATGGGAGGAGTAAAGTGACACCTTGCCATGTTGATAAAGGTCAAGCTCTGCTTAGTTGCAATGAGCTGTTCCTCCATGTATCCATGTAAAGCCTGACATCTCCAAATGGTTCTCCCACCATCTAGTGGGAACTGTTGCAACTGCAGGGAGTGTTCACCCTAAAAAACCCAGCTGGGGTTTTTTACCACCTGCATGTGTGTAAGTCAGAAGATCTTGTCTGCATGTACGAAAACACATCTGGGTGATGGAAAGGTGTACAGACTGTTATTCTTCTTCTCTTTTCAAAAACAATCCTTTCTGCTGGGCCTGCGGGGAGAATCGGTGGAACAATCTGAATCTCAGCTGGATGCTGATGAAGTTAGA